CATTCACCCAACCATCCCTCACCAACTCATCCATTTACCCACCCAGCCCTGGCCAACCTACATGGTCATCCATCTAGCCATCCATTGACCTATCCCCTCATCCCCTCCCTTGTCCCTTCTCCCCTCCCATCTGTTTTATCAGTCCATCCACTCGTTGCTCTGTATGTTGGTACCAATACTCATCTAACCCTAAATTCATCTTTTCTCTGTTCCCTTCCCTTCCTTCCTTCACCCAAAGACCCATCCATCTGTTCATTCACTCACCACATATCTTCTGGAGGCTCCTGCCAGTCAACACCTTGGCTGAAATCAGGGACAGAGAGAAGTTTAGCTGGGTCCCTGATGTTGAGTCACTTGCTCTGTGGTTAGACGGATCTGGTCTAACAGACAGATACACAGACTGATACTATCCTGTGTGGTTAGAGAGAGGGCCCCAGAGGGGCCTACGAGAGCGAAAGTGAGAGAAACCTACTTCCTTGGAGGGAGATGGGAACATTGGCAATGGGTCTTATAGGATGAAGAGAAGTTCATCAGTAAGAGAAGGTGAGGAAGGGTCTTCCAGACAGGGAAATCTTTTATGCAATGACTTGGAGACAGGAAAAAATTGTGTGTTTCAACTATTTAGGAGATAGCATGCAATCAAATACAGTCCAAGCTATACTGAAGGCTAAAAAAAAAAAAAAAAAAAAAAAAAAAGCCAAGTAATTTGGTTTGAGTGGTGTGGGAGTGATGATGGGAGGAGAATCTGGAAGGTAGGTAGGGCTGCGGATGCCAGGCTGAGGATGAGGCTTCTTCCTGAGGGCCGTGGGGAGCCACGGACAAGTCTTGAACAGAGAAGGGATAGCATCTGATGAAGGTGTCAGAAATATCCCTCTGGAACCACTTGGGGAATGGAGTGGAGGAGAAAAGACCAGCAGCCAGGAGGTCAGGAAGGAGGCTGGGACAATGGTCCAGGAGGAACGGAATAAGGAATGAAAGGTTCAGAGAGAGAAAGTGACTTGGTCAAGTCATACAGCAAGCAGGTTGGAGAAGACAGAGGAGGACCACACCTCCTCACCCCTCGTGGCCCTGGCCTGCTCTCCCCATTCCCCAGGGAGGTGGTTGAGGAAGAGAAGAAGAAGAAGAAGAAGAAAGATGATGATGACTTAGGTATCCCACCTGAGATCTGGGAGCTTCTGAAAGGGGCTAAGAAGAGCGAGTATGAGAAGATCGCCTTCCAGTATGGCATCACTGATCTCCGGGGCATGCTGAAACGGCTTAAGAAGGCCAAGGTTGAGGTCAAGAAGAGTGCAGGTCAGTCTTGGTGTCAGGGGAGATGGACCCTGCATTATGGGTGTCTGATATTTGCATCCTGGACCTGTCTTTTGGAAGCCCAGTCTGAGGGGTCACAGAGTCCTCTTCTCAGGAAACTCTGAATTCAGAAGAGCCTTCCTGACCTTGATCTTGGGGAGTCTGTAGTCTGGGGAGGGAGATTTGGCACCTCTGGGTATGAGAGGCAGTGAGAACTTCTTACCTCCATCCCCTCTGCATCTCCCAATCTCCAGCCTTCACGAAGAAGCTGGATCCAGCCTACCAAGTGGACAAGGGTAACAAGATCAAGTTGGTGGTAGAGATCAGTGACCCCGACCTTCCCCTCAAGTGGTTCAAGAATGGCCAGGAAATCAAACCAAGTAGCAAGTATGTATGGAGCAGTCCCTGGGTGGGGGAGACCCTAGACCCAGAGACAGAACCCAGTAATTGGGCTGACCATTCTTCTCTTTTAAAGCAATAACTCTCCATCCTCTCCTCTCCCCCTCCCCTGGTAACCATTAACCTATTGTTGTCTCTGTGCACTTCCTAGACTGCGTATTTCCTATCAGTGGGACCACACAATATTTGTCCTTTTATGTGTGGCTTCTTTCATTCAACATTGTGTTTTCAAAGCTCATCTGCTCGGTAGCATGTATCAGGACTTCATTTCTCTTTATGACTGAATAATATTCCATCGTA